GCAGCTTTCTAATAAGCTAAACAGGACTCTGTCTAAAGTGTTTTTTGACTTGGTGTCAAATTATTGAGAAAACAAGGGCCTAGGCCAGTGATTTTCTTTTTCTTTTTCTTTTTTAAAAATTTCTTTATTGATGGTTATTACATATGTGTCCTTATCCCCACATTACCCGCCACCCCCGCACTCATGCCCTCATCCCCCTGTTGTCTGTGGACATAGGCCAGCGATTTTCAACCATTTTCATCGCATGGCACCCATGAACTAATTACTAAAATTCTGCAGCACACCAAAAATATATGATATGTTTTGCCGATATGACAAAAATAATTAAGCATGCCTAGCTGGTTTGGCTCAGTGGATAGAGCGTCAGCCTGCAAACTGAAAGGTCCCAGTTTCGATTCTGGTCAAGGGCACATGCCCGGGTTGTGGGCTTGATCCCCAGTGGGGGACTTACGGGAGGCAGCCAATCCATGATTCTCTCTCATCATGGATGTTTCTATCTCTCTCTCCCTTTTTCTTCCTCTCTGAAATCAATAAAAATATATTTAAAAAATAATTAAGCATAATTTTGATTCATTCACACCTGATGGCTACTGTTGTGTTGGCTGTTGTCATTTTTTAATTTGACAAGGTAGGGGGGTAAAGAGGTCAGTGGCCCTGACTAAGAAGCCAGGTATTGCAAGTTTACAAAATTCTTACAGCACACCAGCTGAAAATCACTGGACTAGGCAAATGAAAGAGATTCCCTTCAAGGTGAGCAGCAGGAGGTCAAGGTAAGTAGCAGACCGGGCCGTGCAGGCTGAAGCAGAGAGAATATGTGGCTTTGCTCAGTAGGGAACCTAAGAATATCTGAAATAAAGCAGGCATCAGGAAGGATCTCAACAGCCCTTACAGCTCAAGACAGTCAACCTCCAGGGCAATGAGGCAAAATGGAAAAGCCAAGAGGGAGAGCCATCCTTCGCACGACCCCCGGGCCTGCGGACCTGACACCAGGGCCGTTGCTTTCCCCAAGCTACGAGCACACACATGATTTTGATTCCTACATGCATACAAGTCACCTGCGAACAGGTGACTCTTTTCTAATGTTTTCTACTTTCCAAGGAAATCATTGACTTCCACAATTTCTCTTTTCTAGCCCGCAGTTCTTTGGCACCAAGTGAATCTGCTAAGTCCCTTCTCTTTAGAGCAAACATCAGCCAACGTTCACAGAAAAGGGCCAGAGCATAAATACCTTCGTCTCTGTCCCAACTCCGCTCTGGAAGCGAGAAAGCAGCCACTGGGAACACCGATAACGCGTTAAGGAATGGGCATGGTTGCGTTTCAATTAAATTGTATTTACAAAGCAGGTGGCCTAGTTTGGCAATCTCTGCTTTAAAGGACGCTGGGACTATGCTATACAAAAACAAACCAGAAACATTTGATCATACACAACACTCTCTCACCAATAATTATTACCATGAAACAAACCAGAGGGCTCCAACAGAGAAAACCATGAAATGGGAGAGACAGGCATTCCTACATTTGAAACAGTGCTTATCATGCAAAGCCAAAGACTCAAATGTTCAAAGATGAATGCGAATTGTGATAAGCAAGGAAGTGAGTAAAATCATCTGTAGACTATAGTACAGGGGTTCCACATGAAGGTCAAGGTAACCATTAGGAATGAATGGGAAACACCAATAAGAAGTCCAGCCTTTGAACCTTTAAGCACAAAAGTACAACAAGAGGCAGAGATATGAAATTGGGCAGTAGCAGGACATCCGGTCCAAACAAATGTCCTCCAGACATCTGAGGCCCCTCCCTGTGGCCCCAACACTACTTGGCACTGGCCTCACTGCTTTGCTTTCTTCCTTACTCATATGCAAGTGTTCATATGATGAAAATGATTAACGTGGGAGGCACATGGAGGAAGATGAACAAAACAGAGCGAGAAGGCACTGGAGAAAATCTGAGCCAGAGG